CTCCCGTCTCGGGCTCTCTGTCCCCATCCCCGCCACCGGGAAGGAGCTGGGCAGAGTGACAGCAAAAGCCCAGCCTGTCACCTGCACAATTATCCGCCCAGGACTCACAGCACAAAAGGGCTGCAGGGGCTCCGTCCTTTGTTGCACATTCCAGTTTTCGGAAACTGCTCAAGCTCGGCTTTCCGTGTCCTTTTGGAGTTGGCACGGGGACGTCACCACGTGGGTGTGACCGGTTGTGTCACCGGGCAGACGGGGGACGCGGGGCAGGGACCAACCCCTTTCAGGGCTGCAAGCTCCAACCTTCCAATCCGAGGCCGGTCTCCCTGGCAACCGGTCCTCACCCTCAGCCTGCGCAGAAGGGGACGCCGAGAGTCACCTCGGCGGGGCAAAGGTCGTCTGGTCGCCGGGGACATTCCAGGGGACGCCCCGGCCCTGCGTCAGCGGGGAGGTCAGAGGTCAAATGTCACAGCAGAAAGAGTCCCTGTCGCCAAGACAGCTCGGAGTCACCAGTGGGACAGAGACCAACACGGGTGGCCTCTACGTTTTTCTTTCTTTCTTTTTTTTTTTTTTTTTTTTGAGACAGAGTCTCGCTCTGTCGCCCGGGCTGGAGTGAGTGCCGTGGCGTCAGCCTCGCTCACAGCGGCCTCCAACTCCTGGCCTCCAGCGAGCCTCCCGCCTCGGCCTCCCTCCCGAGTAGCTGGGACCACAGGCATGCGCCACCACGCCCGGCTCGTTTTTTTTTTTCTATATATTTTTAGTCGTCCACCTCGTTTCTTTCTATTTTTCTTATAGAGACGGGGTCTCGCTCTTGCTCAGGCTGGCCTCCTACTCCCGACCTCAATCGATCCTCCCTCCTCGGCCTCCCAGAGTGCCAGGGTGACAGGCGTGAGCCACAGCCCCCAGCTAATATTTTTTATATATTCTTTTTAGTTGTCCTATTAATTTGTTTCTATGTTTAGTAGAGACGGGGTCTCGCTCTTGCTCAGGCTGGTCTCGAACTCCTGACCTCAAGCGATCCTCCCGCCTCGGCCTCCCAGAGTGCCAGGGTGACAGGCGTGAGCCACGGCACCCGGCCAATATTTTTTCTATATATTTTTAGTTTTCCGGCTCATTTCTTTCTATTTTTTTACTAGAGATGGGGTCTCGCTGTTGCTCAGGCTGGCCTCCAACTCCTGACCTCGAGCGATCCTCCCGCCTCGGCCTCCCAGAGTGCTAGGATTACAGGCAAGCCTCACTGCACCCGGCTCATTTTTTGTATATATATATACATATTTTTAGTAGTCATTTCTTTCTATTTTTAGTAGAGACGGGGTCTCGCTCTTGCTCAGGCTGGCCTCCACCTCCCGACCTCGAGCGATCCTCCCGCCTCGGCCTCCCAGAGTGCCGGGGGGTGACAGGCGTGAGACTTGCATTTCTTATTCTGTCCCAATACCACGCCGGTCAGGGGACCCCCCTCTACCCTGGAGTTCAACTGTGGCCACTTCCTGGCTGCCCACCGGAAGACCCGGGCCTCAGTTTACCCATCTGTAGTAAAATGGGCTTTGCTCTCTGGCGGAACGGGGAAGGGATTCGGGGGTCAGAGCTGGGGACCCCGGGGGACAGGTCCTTCAGACAGAGAGGTTTGGGGACCGGCGGGGTTTTGGGGCAAGCGTGTCCTTGATCCGGTGCCAGCAGGGGTCCCGTCACCTGTGGGAGGGGGCAGGGAGGAGGGCACAGTTGCATTCTGGGTCACGTGGCTCCTGGTTCCGGAAGCCACCGGCTGCAAGATGGCTCGCTCGGTGTGACGCCCCTTCCTACCGGGGCGTCACACGGAGGCGAGCGATCTTGCAGCCGGGTGGCTTCCGGAACCAGGGAGCACGTGACCCAGAATGCAACTGTGCCCTCCTCCCTTGACGCCCCCCTCCCAGAGGTGACGGGGACCCCCTGCTGGCACCGATGTAGACACGCGCCGCCAAAAACCTGCCAGTCCGCCAAACCGCTCTGTCGAAGCCTGTCCGCCCCGGGGTGTCCCCAGCTCATGACCCCCGAATTCCCTTCCCCGGTCCGCGACAGAGAGCAACGCCTATTACTACCGATGGGTAAAAACTGATGCCCGGGGGTCTTCCGCGAGGGGCAGGCCCAGGAAGTGGGCCACAGGTTTGATGACTCCAGGGTGGAGGGGGGGTCCCTGAACCGGCGTGGTATTGGGACAGGAATAAGAAATGCGAAGGTCTCACGGCCTGTCACCCCGCCCGGGCACTCTGGGAGCCGAGGGCGGGGAGGAACGCTCGAGGTCGGAGGGTTGAGGCCGGCCGATGCGCGAAGAGCGGAAGACCCGTCTTCGTACTAAGAAAAATGAGAAGGAAATGAGCCAGACAACTAAAAATATATAGAAAAAATATTGGCCGCTGTGCCGTGGCTTCACGCCTGTCACCCTGCACTGTGTCTGGAGGCCGAGTCGGGGCAGGGATTCCTTGAGGTCAGGGAGTTCTGAGACCAGCTGAGCAGAGCGAGGACCCCGTCCTACTACCTAACAAGGAAACAAAATTAATAGGACAACTAAAAAGAAAATATATAAAACAATTTTAGCTGGGGGCTGTGGCTCACGCCTGTCACCCTGGACTCCTGGGAGGCCTGATCCGGGGAGAGGAGTCGATTGAGGTTGGGAGGTAGGAGGCCAGCCTGAGCCAAGAGGAGACCCCGTCTCTACTAAGAAAATGAAAGAAACTGAGCTGCCCAAACTAAACAATATAGTAGAAAAAAAATAACGGAGCCGGGCGTGGAGGGCGCACGCCTGTGGTCCCAGCTACTCGGCGAGGGACGGGCGAGGCGGGAGGCTCGGTCTGCACGTAGGCCAGGAGTCGGAGGCCGCTGGTGAGCCCGAGGCTGACGCCCGGCGCGTTGCCACTCCGGCTCGGGCGACAGGCGAGGACGCTCGTGTCCTCATAAACAAAAAGAAAAAAAAAGGAAAAACGTGAGAGGCCACCCGTCGTTGTCTCTCTGTCCCACTGGTGATCTCCCGAGCTGTCTTGGCGACAGGACTGCTCTTCTGCTTGTGAATTTGACCCTCTGACCCTCGCCGTGGACGCAGGGCCGGGCGGTCCCAGTGGAATGTCCCCGCGCCAGGACGACCTTCCGACCGAGGTGACTCTGTCGCGGCGTCCCTCTTCTGCGCAGGCTGAGGGTGAGGGACCGGTTGCCAGGGAAACGGGCGTCCTTCGGATTGGAGGTTGGAGCTTGGCAGCCCTGAAAGGGGTTGGCCCGCCCGCGCGGGTCCCCCGTCTGCTACCACGTGACACAACGGTCACACGCCACCGTGGCTGAGTCCCCGTGCCCAACTCCCAAAAGTTGACACGATTCGCGGA